TTTATTTCATATTCAAATTTGTCTTTATTTATGTCTGCCTTCACCTCAAAATTGTCTAGTGTAGAAATTCCAAAAAGTGTACAGGTTGCTCTGGAAATTTCAAAGTGGAGGGAAGCTGTACTTGAGGAGATGAAATCTCTTGAAAAGAACAAAACTTGGAGTGTTACGTCGCTACCAGATGGCAAGAAGACATGAGTTTTTTGAGGACATGAGTTTTTTGAAAAATTTATCTTTGCCTGTACCACAAAATTCTGAGACTTTTACATCTGCACCAACAGAAAATGGGCATGATTCTGTATCTGATCCTACTCCTGTTATGAGCAAGGAGCCTTATGAATCCGAGCCTACATTTTCTCTTGTAGAAAATAATGAGAATCCTGAAAACGATAATAATGATGATCTAATTGAAATGCCACAAAATAATGAGTCACTTCAAGAAAACAGATTCGAATTAGGAAACAGGACTTGGAAAGGGAAGATTTTTATGAAAAAGCACCATAAATGAAGGGAAGAGTCCACATCTCAACACTGCCAGGAATCTGAACTGGGGAATAATCAACCTCCTAACAAAAGGAAAGGTAAGTCTATCTCTGTTTCTTAGAGTCGTATTTTGTATCCTGATATAGATGATCCTGTTGCCATTAGAAAACCTGTCAGATCTTGCACTAAACACCTCATGTCTAATTTTATTTCATATTCAAATTTGTCTTTATTTATGTCTGCCTTCACCTCAAAATTGTCTAGTGTAGAAATTCCAAAAAGTATACAGGTTGCTCTGGAAATTTCAAAGTGGAGGGAAGCTATACTTGAGGAGATGAAATCTCTTGAAAAGAACAAAACTTGGAGTGTTACGTCGCTACCAGATGGCAAGAAGACAGTTGGATGTAAATGGGTGTTTACTGTGAAGTATAATTCAGATGGGTCAATTGAAAGGTACAAGACTCGCTTGGTGGCTAAAGGCTTCACTCAGACCTATACTATAGACTACTGAGAGACATTTGCTCCTGTTGCAAATTTGAACACTATAAGAATTCTTTTTATCTCTTGCTGCTAACCTGGATTGACCCCTATATCAGTTAGATGTTAAGAATGTCTTTCTTAATTGTGATCTAGAAGAAGAAGTATATATGGACATTCCTCCTGGTTTTGAAAACAAATTTGGATCAAATGTATGCAAACTAAACAAGTCTTTGTATGGATTAAAGCAGTCTCCCAGAGCTTGGTTTGAAAAATTCACTCAGTCCATGAAGAATCAAGGGTACATTCAAGGACAGGTTGACCACACCTTATTCACAAAACTCTCGAACGATGGGAAAGTTACTGTTCTGATTGTTTATGTTGATGATATTGTCCTTACTGGAGACGATACAGTGGAAATGGCAAGGGTAAAAGAGAAATTGACAGTAGACTTTGAAATCAAGGACTTGGGATTCATGTGATATTTTCTAGGCATGGAGGTTGCTCGGTCAAAGAATGGTATTGTGGTTTCACAGCAGAAATACATTCTAGACTTATTGAAAGAAACAAGAATGAGTGGATGTCGTCCTGCAGATACCTCTATGGATCCTAATGCTAAACTTTGGAGAGAAGGTAATGTTCCTGTTGATACTGGAAGATATCAGAGATTGGTTGGAAAACTGATTTATTTGTCACACCCGACCTGATATTGCTTTCTCAGTCAGTGTAGTGAGTCAGTTTATGCATTCTCCTTTTGAAGAATATCTTGAGGCAGTCTATAGGATATTGAGATATCTGAAGAAAAATCTTGGAAAAGGATTATTTTTTAAGAAGACTAGTGAAAGGAATGTGTCTATCTTCACCGATGCTGATTGGGCAGGTTCAGTCACGATAGAAGATCAACCTCTGGATATTGTACATATGTTTGGGGTAATCTTGTGACATGGAGGAGTAAGAAACAAGGCGTTGTAGTAAGGAGTAGTGCAGAAGCCGAGTTTAGAGTCATGTCTCAAGGTATTTGTGAAGGATTATGGATCCTTAGAGTCTTAAAAGAACTTAAGATGAAAGTTGAGCTTACATTGAAATTGTACTCTGACAGTAAAGCTGCTATTAGCATAGCTCATAATCCAGTTCAACATGACAGAACCAAGCATATTGAGATTGATCGACACTTCATAAAGGAGAAGTTAGATGCTGGAATCATATGTCTACCTTTCGTGACTTCAAGCCAGCAAACTGCGGATATCTTGACCAAAAGTTTGGCAAAACCTACCTTTGAGCATTTGATAGACAAGTTGAGCATGATAGATATCTATGCACCAACTTGAGGAGGGGTGTTGGAAAATATTTTATTTCCATATTTAATTGTTTACATTTATTGTCATTTATTTTTTTTTATTCTCCATTAAGGAGAGAATTAAGTATTTTTATTGTATTCTGGCTGAGAAATAAAATTATAACAGCTTTTATCTATTTCTTTCAATAGAAATATTGTTTGTATAGCAGTAATAGACCCTAACTTCATCAAAACTTGGTTAGAACTGCTAATAAAATACTTCAGTCTGGATTAGCACACAATATATCCAAATGAAAATAATTTGGCATAATCGTTCCCCTTTTAAGGTCACATTATTTGTGTCTTATGTTCCTAAATAAGATAGCAACAAAGGAGAATCTACACTGGTGGGGAGTGCTCTATACTGATGTGCTATTATGTGTTGGGGGTGTGGGGTGTGGTAGAGAGTTCAGCATTTCTTTTAGGAACTTAAGCATTCATTTTACACTACACTATAATATGAACATACAACTAAATTAGTTTGCTGGATTGTTAGGCGGTTGAAAAGCATGTAGGGATATGTTGGCTTGCGTGTGATTGCTAGCTTTTGGGTGATTCGGAAGGAGTGAAACAATGCGCCGTTGTCTTAAGGAAATATCAATTGACAGTCTAGGGGAGGAAATAAAGATAACAGCGTTGAAATGGTTGAAAATGAAAGCTTAAAGGTTTCAATTATCAAACTTGGCAATGGTGTTTGAATCCCAAAGCATGTCTCAGATTGAATTGGTGCTGGTGTGTATGGATTCTGAAAGTGGTATATAAAAAGAAAACTGCTTCTGTCATAAGGAATCCAAGGATCTTGTGTCAGCAGGAACATGAAACTGAGAGCTGGAATTGAAGCTGAAAATAGTATTTGGATATGGTGTGGTTCTAACCAAGATTTGGGGCTGCTGTTGAACTATTTTTTGTGGTTACTATTGTTGGTTTTCCTGTTAGTTTTTCTGGTATTTGGGACTTTCTTTTGATGATTTGGGGTTGTTTCCGAGCTACCCTTTTAGCTCTTACTGCTGGTCTTTAATGGTGGTATTTGGGTTTTGCTGACTTTGTTGAAGTGAATTTGTAATGAGGGGAACACGTGGGTTGCTGCTATGTTGCAGAGGTGCATTGGTCCTGAGATGATTCTTAAGATTGTTGCACTACAATCATAGCAAGACAAAAACATAGTTGATTAGTTTTGGAAATGGGCAACAATGGTTAATAACTACCCTTGTTGTAAAACATTGGTGAATGTGGCATGTGTCCGCAAAAATTAACTATTATATACTCTAGGTAGACCCCAGCTTATGGCTAAGATTGGATGAAATGGTGACAATACATACTATTTAGGTAGGAATAGAAGGACATCTGATGCTAATGCTTAAGATTTATGATCCATGAAAACATTGATATCATAATAGCTGAAATCAGAGAAACTAATAGAACACTTTTTGTAAGACTGATTGCAAATAATAATGAAATATAAAGAACAGGGGATATCATCATTAAAAATAAATCACACACCATTTCTTTTTTTTCTTTCTTTCCTTTCTCATGAAATACAAACAGGAGAGGAGGACAATTGCAACAATAGAAGCTAACCTCTTTTTATCGAAAAGTTCTTTGCTTTTTTTTTATTTTTTATAGTAATTTGCTGATAAGAAGTGTTAAAAAATGTGGTTGGGCCTTACTCAACCCTACAAAACCAGTTGGTAGAGTGAGGACTACTCCCACTTATAAACACATGTTCATGCTATATCTTATCCGATGTGGGACTCTTAACACACCTCCTCACGTTCAGTACTAGACAATTGGAGCGTGGAAATAAATGGTGGGTGACCCGATAGCAGAAACCATAGTAAGGGGCCTACTGGATCTTAAACGAGACTCTTGATACCATATTGAATTAGGAGAGACTAATAGACATTTTAGGATAAAACCGTATGTTTGAATAGCACAACGGAGGATGTATTATATAGGAAAAAAGTACAGCTCATATTATTAATTACATAGCTATCCTATTCTATCCTTAGAATACACCGAGACACACACACACACAACAACAACAACTCTCATCACAATTCTTGCGAGGATCTTAGGTTGCTGCACCAAAGAAGAAAAGAAAATGTTAATCTATGACTATTTCTTAACAGAAGCTTAAGCTCTTTGAGTTTTGGTATGTGTTATTTTTTCACCTTTGTTACATTAGTACTTTAGATGTCACTGAATATATAGTAACAATATTCATATTTTCATACATCAACGAATAATCCAACATACTCATGTCACTCGTTATACCATGCATATCTTATCTAGATAAATCTAAACGTCGAAACCTAGACTGGAGAAACCGATTTGATTTTTTTGTGTGGGGTTGTTAGACAAAACTCACGAATATAAATCACTCATAGGACCTGAAGGCCAGCAATGTCTTGTTGTACACTGCATTGAACCCAACAATTACAGATTTTGGTATGGCTATAATGTTTGGTGGAAATAAGATCTAGAAACGTGCTTAGAAGTGGAATCGGTCTTTACCTTACAACAACTATTCAGACCCATAAAACTTCCTGATAAGCTTATTGAAACAAACTCTTACTCAAGTATTCATTTTACAATACTACAAAGTGATTAAAAATACCTGTTTCTAAAGAACCTCAAGAAAAGTCTACTAACTCAATTCTGATGGAAAAATATGGACAAAAAATTACTTATTTCATTAGCGTAGCTTTTAACGAGCACTAATGGTAGTTTCTGTTAATTCATTTATTGAAAAACCTCCTCCTGATGTTGAAGATTCTTGCAAATCTTGGTTGCCATTGAATAAAAAAGCTGGTTTTTGAGGTGGGATGAGAGGTGTTTCGTTGGATAGCATGAAAACAACTTCCAACATTGATGGTCTATTCACGGCATTTTCTTGCACACACAATAGTCCAATTTTAATGCATCTCAGAACTATAGCAGAGGGATAAAACTGGTTCAGTGCTGGATCAACTATATCCAAGGCACTTTCCTCTGTCCATAGTGTCCACACCTACAAATGCACAACACAATCTTTAAATAAATACATCATACATCACTAAATTGTTGGTCAATTTTAAGGTTACCTATTTTTATTTATTTAACTTACATGTCCAATTAAATTTGGGGAGGATCTTTCTTTTTCACGATGTGAGTTTCTTTGTCCAGCAATAATTTCTAGTAGCAAGACCCCATAACTGAAGACATCAGATTTTGTTGAATATAGTCCTTCCATTGCATATTCTGGTGCCATATATCCACTGCAATTATACAAGTAGTTAGACCATCGTGTTAAATACAAATCCATCTCTATAATACTAATGTTTATAAGAGTATGACACATACTATGTTCCAACCAATCTTTTTGTTCTTGCTTGGATTTCATCTTCTGCAAATATTCTAGCCATACCAAAATCTGATATTTTGGGATTCATTGCAGCATCAAGAAGAACGTTGCTAGCCTTTAGATCTCTATGAATTATTTTCAGCCTTGAATCTTGATGAAGATATAAAACACCTCGAGCAATCCCACAAATAATTTCAAAACGCTTACCCCAATCCAATGACGACCTTTGGTTTAGATCTGAGTTGAACAATTGAAGTTTTTAGAGATTGAACATATTGGGAAAATCAACACCATATTGAGCTTAAATTCATAAGAGTTAATCAAAATATAGAATAGAAAAGGATAATACAGTTTTAGTTGAATATCTGGAAGCCATTATTTCCACTTAACCATGAAAATGTAGAATTTAGGAAACTGACAAGTAGATAAGATTAGATAATCTGCTGAACCTATCATCTTCTGCCTGACAATGAGTTTTAGGAATATATGTAAAAGTTTCAATCTTGTCCCATGTTTAGGCATCTAAACATTATAATGAATTATTGTTAACCCATTTATTTTAGCAATAGCCCTGTGAGTAATGTGCCGATTTCTCTCGCCAATTCAGTTACAACTCACTATGCTTTATGCTTGTCTAAATACAAGTTCATTCAAGCTAGAGACAATTATAAATAAGAGAGAGGAGCATACCGAATATAAAGAAGTCTAGGCTTTTGTTTGGTAGGTATTCATAAACTAGCATCCTTTCTTCTTTTTCAAAGCAACAACCGAGCAATCTCACTAAATTTCTGTGTTGGAGTTTAACTAAAAGTGTAACTTCATTTTTAAACTCTTCTTTGCCTTGACCTGAATCTTTGGATAATCTTTTCACTGCTATCTCTTGTCCATTAACCAAGCAACCCTGAAATATTTATCAGTTAAATCCCATTTCACTATTTTCCCTTCATTTTTCTATTATGTGATTCAAATGAATATAAAGAGGTGAAGGATGTTTTCACTTCTTGCATCAGTAGCTTAGTGTAGAGTTTTACTTACCTTATAGACTGAGCCAAATCCACCTTGTCCAAGCTTATTCTCATGACCACAATTTCTTGTAGCTGTCATTATCGTCTTAAAGTTGAAAAATGGTAGATTTGGATGTGGAGCACCATTCTCTTCTCCAGAGGAATCTTGGTTTAATTGCCGCATTATTTTTTCTGAAATTTCAAATGACATGAAGTAAGATTTCAATCAATTTACACAGTTTTAAGAGTATGTTTCTTCTTGGCTCTAAAAAAAAATCAGATTATAAATTTAGCTGTGGTTGCACTAGTAATGATCTCAATAATAGTAATAGTAATAATAATAATAATATTCAATCAAAACATAGACATTATTATGAGTTGCTAAGGAAATTTGGAGATATTGTTTGTATAACACTGATATTCAGTTGGTTAGGAACTTAGGCATTCATTTCACACTACACTATAATATAGACATACAACTAGATTAGTTTGTTGGATTGTTAGGTGATTGCAAAGCAAGTAGGGATATGTTGGCTAGGGGGTGATAGCTAGCTTTTGGGTGATTTGGAAGAAGTGAAACAGTGTGCCGTTTTATCTTAATGAAATATCGATTGACAGTCTAGGGAAGGAAATAAATATAACAGCATGGAAATGGTTGAAAATGAAAACTAAAGGTTTTAATTTCAAACTTGGCAATGGTCTTTGAATCCCAAAGCTCGTCTCAGATTGAAAATAGAAGATTGAATTGGTGCTGGTGTGTATAAGTGGCATATAAAAAGAAAACTGCTTCTGTCATAAGGAATCAAAGGATCTTGTGTCAGCAGGAACATGAAACTGAGAGCTGGAATTGAGCTGACAATAGTATTGGGAGATGGCGTGGTTCTGTCCATGATTTGGGGTTGCTGTCGAACTATTTTTTGTGGTTATTAGTGTTGGTTTTCCTATTAGTTTTGCTGGTATTTGAGACTTATGGTTGATGATTTGGGGGCTTTTGGAGCTAACCTTTTAGCTTTTACTGCTGGTTTTTAATGGTATTTGGGCTTTGCCAATTTTGTTGAAGTGAATTTGTAATGAGGGTAACATGTGGTTTGCTACTCTGTTGCAATGCTGAATTGGTCTTTGAGGTGATTATCAAGATTGTTGCAGTACAATCATAGCAAAAAAAAACATAGTTGATTAATTTTCGAAATTGGCAACACTGGTTAATAGCTACACTAGCTGTAAAACATAGGTGAATGCGGATTGTGTTAGCAAAAAAGTAACTTAGTACAGTATTCCATGCACTAGGTAGACGCCGGCTTATGGCAAAGATTGGATGAAATGGTAACAACATATACTATTTAGGTAGGAATAGAAGGACATCTGAAGCTAATGCTTAAGATTTATGATGCATGAATACATTGATATACCATATAGCACACATTCCGTATAATAGCTGAAATCAGAGAAACTAATAGAACACTTTTTGTAAGACAGATTGTAAATAATATTGAAATATAAAGAATAGGGGATATCATCACTAAAAATAAATCACACACCATTTCTTTTTTTCTTTCTCATGAAATACAAACAGGAGAGGAGGAGGACAATTGCAACAAACGAAGCTATCAGAATTGCAGCCAACAACCTCTTTTTCTCGAAGTGTCCTTTGCTTTTTTTATAGTAATTTGCTGATAAGAAGAAACAAGTCAAAAGAAGTTCAAACTACTATGAAGCGGTATCAAATTTATAAAGAAAAACACAGTTAGAGAAAATATCTTACCGAGTTCAACTTTATCGACACGTAAAAATAAATCTTGGCCTTGATCACTTAGTTTTTGAATGTCCATTAAATCCCCATGCCATGCCACACACCCACTTCCACCATTCCTCACATTAGCAGTTGCATAGGCAGTACAAGAGCAGTTTCTCAAGCATTCTTTCTCACATTCTTCCAAACTTAAACTACCTTTAGCAACTGCCACAGATGTATCAGGAACTTTCAAGCCTACAACTTTGACAAAGCCTTCTCCATTCCCACAAACAGATGCACCTTTCTTCCTTACACACCCTCCTGACCCATCTCCATTCTCATACCAATCACGTTGAAATTTGGGTTCAAACCCGGGTAAACAAGAACACTTAAAATCCTCAAAGTTCAAAGGGTCACAATTACTGTTTGATCCACATGTTCCATAGTTATCGCATTGGTTTGTTGGTTCTATATAGAACTGGTTCCATTGACTTTTTTGATTGTCCCATGTGAGTGTTTGAATGAAACCAGACTGTTCTACAATTGTTCTAGTAAGGGCAGACTTATCTATCATGTTAAATGAAATTGCTACAGAGTTGTCATCTCCAACAAAAGAAACATTAAAAATGGTCCTAGCTCGTTTCGCATTAGGTATACCTGCTAATAGTGCTCCGTTCAAGGGTCCACCGCGCCACCGAGGAAGATCATGGTTGTACATAAAAAACTGAGGTGTACCAATGGTGCTGAATTTCACTGTGAATGCACCTTTTCCAGGGTCATCATCTGTCTTCCATGATTGAAGGAACCAGCTTTGATTAGTTTTTCTATCAAAACCAACCCTTAGATATGGAAGCATGGTGTCTGTTGGATGATCAAAGCTTTCCCAGATGACAGTTTTGGTGTTGTTTAACATCAGAACAAAGTTTGCTATATCCAATAGTTGAGCTACAACGTTGGTGCTATTTATCTGTGATTGTGTTAATGAAACATTGGTAGACCAAATGGGAATGGTGCTGAGGTTGTGGTGGAGTACTAGATTTCCACTCGGGTCGATTGATAGGATTCCAGAAGTATCATTAATTGGAGTATCTCTGTTTGCAACCCAAACAACAGTTTGGTTTGGCAAATTGTAGTACCAAATTCCAACATAGCGAGAGGTGGATTTTCCAGGAGTGAAGAATCCAAGAGCAAAAGTTTTAGATTTAGAAACAAGAAGCTGACCATCATCTCTTAGGGGTTTGTGAATAGAAATGGTATCAGTAGAACAAGAGCAAAAAGAGAATATGAAAAGGAATATAACCAAACAGTTAAGCAGCAGTCCATTGAGTTCCTTGAGTCTATGATTTTGGGGTTTGAGAAGGCAGCTAAGATATTTAGCAAAGTCCATTGAGTTCCTTTTACGTACTCCTTTTGCATTTTATGAGGAGAAAATTGAAATAGAGTAGAGGAATGTCATAGAAACACATAAAAACATCAACACCATATAGTAATTTGTATTTTTTCAATATCTTTTCTGCCTTGTAATGGCTGCAGATACAACAACCTTTTCTTTACAAACCTAGCAAAAAGTATTGTACAGTGTTGGGCATTGACGTTGAATTTTGTGTAGACATAGCATTCCTCATTGAAATGATTCAACAACTCTTCATACTAGATGAGGTGTTTGGTCTTTTAAATGATATATAATAAAGGATGCTTTTCATACACGCAACGAGCCAAGAATACATATTTAACTTTACAAATGAAAAACCATTGTCAAAGATCTTTATATATTTTATGGTAGTGCCCTACGGAAATGCCCAATATACCCTGTTTGAAAAAAAAATTCTAGTATACACAAACTTTTAAAGAAAAATTTTCAAAATTTCTCGTATACACAACTTTTAAAGAAAAATCTATGGGAATTTCTTAATACACATATTCCTAGAACATAACGTAAAATATAAAAATACTTTTAAATTTTTGAGATATATCTCCGAAAATAAAAATCAATTTTAAGGTCTATTTGGTTTAAATAAGCGGAGGGGAGGAACGAGATTTTAATGGAGGGAAGGAGAGGGAAGATGAGAGATTTTTTTAATTAAATATATATTTGGTTCAAAAGAGAGGAGGGGAGAGAAGGAAGAGATTTTAATTAAAAATATGTTTTGTTCACAATAGGAAGGGAGAAATTTTATTAATAATTTATATTTTTATCTTATAAATGATATCATATTTAAAGGTGAAAATTTCATAAATATTTTTTGGCAATAATTTTGTAATATTTAGGGATTAAAAAAGTTGTTACTTAAAATTGAGTATACTTGATTCGAATTATAAGTCTCAAACACAATTGAGTATACTTGATTCGAATTATAAGTCTTAAACACAAATTAAACTATGTGTTGATATAAAATAAAATATAATAGAATACACAATAAAATAAAATAAAACTAGTAAGTAATCATAAAATTATAAAATTATAAAAGAAAACAAAAAAGTTTTAGCAATTGTAATTTATATTAAATTAAAAAAATTTAAAAATTTTGAAGGTGAAAAATAATTATATTAGTTGATGGTAGCAATTGAGAAAATTTAGAGAAGTATAAAAATGAAAGAAAATAATAATTTTGAAATACTAAAATAATATCAAAACTCATATTTTCTCCCCTCCCCTTCAAAGCCTCCGATTTGGGGGAGGCAAAAAGTGTGATTTGGAAGGGTTTTGCTCCCCTTCCCTCCTCTTCCCTCCTAAAAATTGAACAAACATATTTCATTAATAATATCCCCTTCCCTCCCCTCCATCTACCACGAACCAAACACACTCTTGATGTAAAAAAAAACTATAGAAATGCATCTTCGTAAACATTACGGAGATGAATCTTCCGGCGCTGCTTATACATATCGCGCTAAAACCCTTATTCTTCCTTATTTGTTAAATTTTTTTTTTCTTCTCAAAAACCCTCTCAAAATCACATTGTCTCTAAATCAATCACATCATCGAACTTCAATCAACATTAACTAAATCAAAGAGCTCATTTAACTACACCAACTTCAAAAATTTCTCACTTCTTCCAAGTTTTTTAAATTTTCAAAATATTAAATTGATAAATAATAATGGTTAAATTAATAAAATAAATGGCCAAAAGTTACAACTCTCTGTAATAGAACCAGAGACCTTATAATGATTGGGTGCGTGGTCAAAAGGTGCAACAATCAGATTAACACAACTTTTCATGAAAAAGATTGTTGTTATTGATACAATCGTTCGCGAATGGTTACGTTGAAATCAAATGAAACATTGTTTTTTCTCACCAATTGGTACAAGTTTTCTATAAATAGAGATACTTGTTAGGCATAAAATATACACAAAAATTACTTGTTTCAAATGTCAAAAATTATATCTAAGTCATTCTTTTATTTTTCTAGTGCATAAGAATAAATAATGGAACTTTATTCTGTAAAATATTGTTGATAGATATGCTTAATGTGAATGTGTGATTCATGTTAAGGTTTCCAAAGTATCATGAAGGGAATCCGCCGGTTAACCTTTCGCATCTAATTTGCATAAATTGGTGTGGGCAAATCGAACCTAAAACTTAGTGTAAACACACGTTTTGGAATTTATTTTGAGCAACTTTCATCGTACCGTCTTCATCATCTTCTTCTTGTTCATATTTTACAGCAGACCCCCAACACAAGATCTAATCATCTTTAGGTTCGATTCATGATTTTTTGTGTGAATTATTTATGGTTGCAACTTTGATGGAAAATGAATTCATGCTTTCTTTTTCATAATCGTGGTGAAATGTACATAATAATTCTATTAAATTAATACATATTCATATAATGTTTCAAATCCATGTATAATATTATATGACAAAAATAATATGTATTTATGTTAAGTTTAACATGTGATATTAAATTTATACATGCATGATTTATAAATTATTCAAATATAAGAAATGAAATAATTATGAATATGTTTGGTTTATGTTATAAACTTGAATGTAAAATGTATGTTAAATATTTTTCTTTGGTGCAAGTAATTTATTTCAATTAATAATGCATTATTTCTAGATGAGATTATTTGGTAATAATTAAAAGAAATTAAAGTCATAAATTTGAATATATGGTAAATTTATTGATAACTTAAAATGGTGTAAATATTATGTTAAAAATATCAAGAATATGTTTCAATTATATTGTTATTTATGCAAGAATTTTAAAATTAAAATGATTTATCTCATATTATATGTGTATCATAATATGAAAATATTATTTCTTATTTATCTTGATATTAAAAGTAATTTGAATATATTTTATCTTTTTGTAAGTTAATAAGTGTTCATCGAGAAACGTTACAAGAAATATTAGTGATTTTGATTTATTGTTCATTTTGTGATTTTTATTTGGATATATCATAAACATTTTTAAATATGAAACATGAATTTATCACATGGTGTTGTATTTATATGGAGTTTATGAATTACATGTTTGAACTCACTTTATGAAATAAAAGTTAGGCATGACAAATTTGTTTGATCGCGGTTGTCGATTGCTATAAATGTTTAATGCATTAAATATAATTCAGATATATTTAAGTGGAAGTAAAACTTCAAATTAAAAAGGTTAGCGAATAAATAATGACATAAAATTTGTGTATATGACAAAATGAATGATAAAAGTGTCATGATTATAGTTTATCGAAACTATCAAGAATATAGAACGTGTGTTGTATATGGAAATTGTACTAATATGACAAAAGTATTATGATTTGATGAAAGATGACAAATACTATCAAGAGTACATAATATAATCATAGGCATGATTAGTTGAAAAATTGAATATTTGAAATTTATTAAAGTTTGAAAAAATCTTACAATTCTTTGACGAAAGAATTGACAAAGATATGATGTCCTTGGATATAATTGAATACAATAAAGACATCATTAGGGATGAGGAACAACAAACTTGTATCTAATTAATCATCAATAGTAGAAACTCAACTCACACTTGATTAATGTTAAGTCTTGAGTTCAATGATGAAAGTACACTATTAGAGTGATTGAAGTACTTAATGATAGATACATCCCAAGGGGTAAAAGTACTTAGACCATAAGAATAAGTGTGGTAGGATGAGGTTTTCCTCTTAATAGACATATAACACGTGTTTGCTGGAATGCATAATTATGGGCGCATTTCTGATATAGTCTACCTATATGAGAATGAAGTGGTGTCGCTTCATAGAGTTCAAGGGCTTGACTCTTAAATTCTCATGAAAAGGATATGAGACACAAGGCCTTATTAAATGTGTCATATTAATAATTCGATCAATAGTACCGAGATTTCATGTGTGAGTTATGCACGCTTGTTCTAATGAATAATTGATTCATAACTTGTCTATCAATCTATTCGGGGATGAGTGAAAACTTAACTTACTAAGTATTGGTTCAAATTGTAAGATACCTTTATCTGAAACCATGAAATTTCTTGAATAGTGGATTTAGATATATTTTGAAAATGGTGGGGGATTGTTGGAGAAATTTCCAAAATATTAAATTGATAAATAATAATGGTTAAATTAATAAAATAAATAGCCAAAAGTTGCAACTGTCTAGAATAGATTCAGATACCCTATAATGATTGGGTGCATGGTCAAAAGGTGCAACCACCAAATTAACACAATTTTTCATGAAAAAGTTTGTTGTTATTGATATACAATGGTTTGTGAGTGGTCATATTGGAATCAAATGAAATATTGTTTCTTCTCACCAATTGGTACAAGTTTTTCTATAAATAGAGATACTTCTTAGACATAGAATATACACAAAAAATATTTGTTTCAAATGCCAAAATTATATCTAAGTCATTCTTTTATTTTTCTAGTGCACAAGAATAAATAATGGAACTTTATTCTGTAAAATATTGTTGATCGGTATGCTTAATGTGAATGTGTGATTCATGTTAAGGTTTCCAAAGTATCCTGAAGGGGATTTGCCGGTTAACCCTTTTGCATCCAATTTGCATAAATTAGTGGGGACGAATCGAACCTAAAACTTAGTGTACACACACACTTTGGAATTTATTTTGAGCAACTTTCATTGTACCATCTTCTTGTTGTTCATACTTTGCAGCAGACCCCCAACACAAGATCCAACAAACTCTTTTGAGTTTTTGTATAAATTTTTAGAAATTGATGATTAGATATTGAAATACACAATTTATGCATGTTTGATATGATAAATGTGTTTCATAGTTAAAAGCAATGATCAATGCATTATTTTTGGGGTCTTGGTGGTATGCATTAGCGCCATTGAATGAAAGTTGTAGAAAAATCCAGAGATGCATCTCCGTATTTTTTCAACGTTTGGATTCGCAGGAACCCGAGATGCATCTCCATATTTT